TATCCACAGAATTTTTGTAATCCCCTTGTGTTCAAAGTTGGTGACATTTGGGGATGCAGTTGTGGAGAGTAAGTTATTTACAGAAAAGATAAAGATCAGCACGGTCCCAACTAGAGGGATGTACACTTGAAAGGAAATGTCCACCAGAACACTCAGAGGGGACAGGGATGGCAGCCAAGGTGAGGGAGCAGAGCCAGAAAGCTCTGGAGGGGCTGATGCTGCACCGCAGAAAAGCCGGCCAGCCCCAGCCCAGGTGCACTTCAGCATGGACAGGCTAGGCCGTTGGACAATGCAGAACCTACACCAGCTACCCTGATGCCACTGGCTCCTTCAAATGAATCCACTTCAGTCTGAAGGCAGAGAGGCGGATATGTGATTAGTAGTTAAAATGGCCATGTTTGTTTCTTCCAGCTTTTTCAGAACACAGATATAGCTTTGGGGAACATAAAAAAAAATAGTAAATAGAAGGGATTGAGTTTCTTCTTAGGGCCAAATAAAAACAAAACTAACATAAGGAGAAAAAAATGAATATGTTTGCGACTTCCAAGAGTTGTTTTCAATCAGGGAAAATGGAATAACAGTGCTAGACTGAAAGAATTCTAAATCATCATTCACAAAGATCCAGAATTACAGCAGGCACATGAACACCTCTCTGGGACAGCCTGAGAGTAAAATAGCACAAATCAGCAGGGCTCCCTGCAGGAGTGAGCAGGAGTGAGCAGGAGTGAGCACTGGACAGAGAGCACAGGGAGGGGTTCTGAGCAGGGGAGGGAGGCGCCTCTCTTCTTTGAAGGTCTGGAGTCCAGGCTTACAGATAAAATATTCCGTAAAGACAGCAGAGGGCCAGGTATAAGCGTGTGTATGTCACACCCCCACATCTCATCTCACCATGTTCTGGTTCTGCTATTCCTTTGATCCTACTAGATTCACTAAGCTGCAGTCTAAGAGTGCCAGTAATAAAAGACAGGAAAGCAGAGAAAGTGGCAAGATACAGGAATAGGCACGTCCCACAGTGGTGAGAGAGAATTCCTTTCAACTGCTGGAGCTGAGGACAAATGTCTCACCCAACCTCTGCAAGGAGGACATGGGAGTGAGAGGGCCAGGCCTGTGTGTCACTCCTCCCTGGTCAGCACAGCCTCTGTGCTCAGAGGTTCTTGCTTGCTTCTGTGTTGGTTTTTCCTTTCTGATTGTGAATTGGCATGGATATAAAGTTAATTTTGGTCTTTACCTTTCATGGCAAAGCATTCTAAAGGATTTTAGGAATCTAAAGGATAAATGTATCCATGAAGATAAACCAGTGATTCCTAAAGATTTTTCAACAAAACTGATGCCAAAATTCTTTTTGGACGGTTGTATTCCAAACAGAGTGTCTAGTATTTTTGAATATGTTTGTAAAAAAAATAAGTATGACTTTCAAAAGAGAATATCAGAATCTTAAAGAGATTCTGTTGCGAATCAACAAGTTGCTTATGGTGAAAGCACAAGCAATAACAGGAAGAGAAGCAGACAAAGAGAAAAGACCATAGATTAAAATGGACTTTAAGGGGACGGCACTGTGGCGCAGCAAGTAAAGCCGCCATTTGAAATAAGGGTGCTAGTTCAAGTCCCAGCTGCTCCACTTTCGATTCAGCTCTCTGCTATGGCCTGAGAAAGCAGTAGAGGATCACCAAAGACCTTGGGCCCCTGCACCCACATGGGAGACCTGGAGGAAGCTCCTGGCTCCTGGCTTCTAATCAGCCCAGCTCTGGCCATTGCAGTCATCTGTGGAGTGACTCAACAGATGGAAGACTTCTCTCTCACTCTGCCTCTGCCTCTCTGTAATACTGCCTTTCAAACAAATAAATGAATTGTTTAAAAAAATGTGCTTTAGTCACATTTCAAAAATCTAAATCTGGGCAGATGTTTGGTGTAGCAGTCATGATGTTTCTTGGTATTCTCACATTCTGTATCAGAGTGCTGGCTCCACTCTTGATTCCATCTTCCTGCTACCGCACACCCACAGAAGTTGATGGCTCAACTAGTTGGCTTCTTACCACCCATGTGGTAGATTTGGATTGATTTCCTGCTTTTTGGATTCAGCCTTTCCTAGCCCTGGTGGATTCCATCATTTGGGGGGTGAACCAGAGCATAGCAGACCTCTTTGTGTCTCTCTGCCTCTATCTTTTTCTCTTTCTGCTTTTCAAATAAATAAATAAAATGTTTTTTTAAATACCAACTAAATACAATATGAAGTTCATTTTTGCTAACGGTTTTCCTCCTCATCTTTGGGATTTCAGGAATTCTTGAAGTGGAACTCTGCTCCATGTGCTTTATATCTTATTTGGCATTAGCCCTTCGAGGGAAGATGTCAAAATCCTGGAAATAAACTGCTGAGATTTATAACTGCCTCAACCTTAAAGCCACCTGCACATTTTTATCCCCAAAGTTTCAACATTGTCTTTTATAATGCAGAGGAAATAGATGGTGGTAAAGGCTGACTTTTATTTTGCTGCTGATTTATATCCCTACTGGGGAGTCTCTGGCTTAAGAGAGCACTTGGAGGAGATAACACCACCAAGCGTGAGCAGGGGACATCAGCGATTTATGGACACTGGTAGTTCCTGAGACATCAGCTACTCCATGACCTACAGGTGCTGTAGCATGTTAATCAATAAAGCATTAGAAAGCCCCACATAAGTAGCATTTCTGCACTACTGTCTACTGTCGCTTGCAGCCTTGACTACAGCATGGGAGAGCTGAGGAACAGCATGCTCATGTGGGTGACTGTGTCAAGGAAGTCCCAGGAGCCAAGATTTTTCAAGGGTTCTGACCACGGCAAACAGGCTTTAACATCTAACATCACATGGAAGAATACTTCTGTGTTTTCTGACCAAATAGAGCATTTTATTGCCTTTCAGTGAAGTTTTGAGAAATGAGTTTCTTTAAGCTAGAACTCATGTATGTTCTGTTCTGCCTGTCATGAAATTTAGGAGCACTCAAAGGAGCCTTCAGTACATTTATACATCCCTTTCAAATGTCTAACACACCATTTTCCTTCTGGCTTAACAAATAATTCTCACAGCAAAACCTACAATGTGTACCAGTGGTGATTACCTAACTGTAGCAACTGAGGATATATTATACTCTCTCTCTCTCTCTATATATATATATATATATGTATGTATGTATTTATACACATACTGGAACACTTAGGAATGAATGGGCAATATAATCAAAAATAATGTTGATATTTGTATTTCTGGTGAATGGGTATGTGCTATAAGATTTTTAAAATATCTTCCTTTGTGGTCAAAGTTCCTAATATATAGCATTAATTGTAACTCAAATATTACTTTTGTTACCAATTTATTAATGAAAAATATAAATTCATTTAATCATAAAATGACTTATTATGGATGTAGACTGAAATAAAAATACTAAACTGCAGTATGTTTAATGCTTTTAAAAGTCTAGGGCGCTGGCACTGTGGCTCACTAGGTTAATCCTCTGCCTGCGCGCTGGCATCCCATATGGGTGCCGGGTTCTAGTCCCGGTTGCTCCTCTTCCACTCCAGCTCACTGCTGTGGCCCGGGAGGGCAGTGGAGGATGGCTTGGGCTCCTGCACCCACATGGGAGATCAGGAAGAAGCACCTGGCTCCTGGTTTCGGATCGGCGCAGCGCCAGCCGTGGCAGTCATTTGTGGGGTGAACCAACGGAAGAAAAGACCTTTCTCTCTGTCTCCCTCTCTCACTGTCTAACTCTGCCTGTCAAATAAAAAAAAAGTCTATAGTAAAATGTAACACTTAAGTAAAAATAAGTAACATCATTGGATTTCAATTAGAAATAGAAATAGCATTTAAAAGAAAAAAATGCCTCTACTACCACAAATATGGGATTTTGTTCATGGACTCTCAGGATTTTAGCAATACCTTTAAATTCTTCACAGCCCTTCTCAATAAACATCTTGACAAAAGTCAAAAAAAAAAAAAAAAAAACAACTTTGTCTATTAAGTGAAAGGATTCCCATAGCATAGCTTCTACACCCTATGCTACATTCTGCCTGCTTCTCTGTTCCCAGCTGTTAATAGAGTAAAATTACAAAATATATGTTTAAACTAACATTTATTATAGTAATAGGCTTATCACACAACACAATGTTATTGCACACTGGTCTCTTTTTGAGACATTTCCACAATTCACTTGAGCTGATATTCATAAAATTTATAATTTGTTTTTAATGCATATGTAACTTGAGCAGAGTTAAAATTCCATGACTTTTATATATCTGAGATATCTAAATGATTTTCACCTTATGTAAGTATAATATCTAACACAAGAATCAAGATAAAGTTAAATTTCAAAGATCTACAGGTGGGTTTGTTAAGCATGTTAAGCTCTGTGGGTTAATTGTCATTATATGTAGACTTTCCAATCTTCAAAATGTCTCTTTTATTCCAATGATGGTGACAGATTTCAAGTGTGGTACATCTCTAATACTCAGTAATAACCAGAAATAAAAGCTATCAATATTTAATCCTAAATGGATTTGACATGGTACAGTGTGGTTTTTTGATTTCTTTAGTAAGAATAACAATTCAACAAAGAAAAAGATAAATAGAATATCATTAACAGCGCATGCACTAGTGGGTCTTGTTGGTATGAAATTTGTCCTTGCTTTGTTCACTATGGGTCTGCAGTTCTTATTCTGGTGGGTTAGAGGGCGACAGTCACATGGCAATATCATACATGATATTTTAGAAGATGCCTGATAAATAAAACTAATGAGTTATATTCAATACCAGGAAAAGTAAAATTCCCAAATCCTTTCTAAAGTGCATAAATTGCTAAGTAAAGGATGACCATAGTTCTGTGAGAACAGACCTAATTTATAACGCTGCCTAAATAAGAAGGAGTTTGCTTTAGCAATTCTTGTCTAATTGCTAAATAACAAACACTAAAGTGCACAAAAGTTCAGGCTTTACAGCTTGGCCTTTGCAAGAATAAACTGGACAGGCGACTACCTTGATGCTTAATCCAAATCCTCCCACTGCTTGTCTTCTGATGGTCACTGTTCTTTCCTGAAAGACAGGATTTGCAGAAGGGTTAGTGCTTCCTAGTATGTTGCATAAGCATGATTTTCTTCTAGGTTTTGCTGTTGCTCTTTAAAACTAAAACTAAACAAAGCAAAACAAGACACAGCAAAAACTATTTTGTGACAGTATAGAGGCAAAACTGGAATATCCACAGCATTGCAAAGCTTGAATAATTACAATTTTTAAATCAAAGATCAATAGGTTATTTGTTAAAACGAAAGAGCCTATAGTGTTATTAAAATCCTAAACTCTTAAAAATTTATTCATTTCAATGATTTTGGGGACTTTCATTGAACTTTAGCTCTTACACCTTTTCTCATTTTCACATTATACAAGGGGTCTCCAAAATGTTAATGGAAAATGTGTATTACTAAAAAATATATACATGGTTTTCAAAGTCTTTTTCTACCAAAATAAATTGTATTCTTCCTTTTCCTGAAGATTCTGAAGTTTTCTTGCATATTGTTGTCTGAGGAATGACAAGGTTGGGCTACATAAAAGTAACTCAATGTCAATGGTAAATGTTGTATTTGTCAACTAGAGCTTTATCTTCTGATGCTTTTGCTGAGGCACGGAGCTGCTGTGCTTCCACATATAAATGATTCATGTGATGTCGAAGATTGAAACAGTGAATAAGCCAGGCTCCAAAATTAATTGCCTGCTGGAGAAAGAATGAATTACACGCCTAAGTAATAATGATAATGGAATTATCAATTTTCAAAATCAGTTCTCCTATTCCTTCCACAATGGAAACAATAATTCAATCACTGGCTTATAAAACTTAAAACAGTCACAAAGACAATGGTTTGGACACAAAGAGCCATAGTTGGACAAATCCTGTAATTTCCAATTAGAAAAATCAATATTCCTCCATTTTAAAGCAATCATCTCTACCTAATAAATGCTCTGGAACCATGTTGAAAAGTTGAGGGCTTTTATTTTCTACCTGCTTCATTTAAATTAGTCTTCTGAAACTTCTCCATCTATAACCATTTGATACAACCTCCCCCCACGCTCTGCCAGGATCTGAGAGAGAATTTTTATTTTGTCCCTGTGCCTTTATTCATGGCCAATGGATTGGGTTTTATAATCCATATCCAGGTGAGAATACTGTTTTCTTACTTACATATGTGTATTTTCTCTTACTCTCTTATTCTACGGGTTGGGTCCGGAAAACACAATATCATTTTGAAAGAACTAAGAGAAAAATCTGAAAAATGTTTACTCCTTGTTGCTCAGGGTAATTATTTATTATTATTATTATTATTATTATTGACAGGTAGAGTTAGACAGTGAGAGTGAGAGACAGAGAGAAAGGTCTTCCTTTACCTTTGGTTCACCCTCCAGTGGCCTCTGCGGCCAGCACACGTGCTGATCTGAAGCCAGGAGCCAGGCGCTTTCCCCTGGTCTCCCATGCAGGTGCAGGGCCCAAGCACTTGGGCCATCCTCTGCTTCCCTCCTGGGCCACAGCAGAGAACTGGACAGGAAGAGGAGCAACCGGAACAGAATCCGGCGCCGCAACCGGGACTAGAACCCAGTGTGCAGGTGCCACAGGCGGAGGATTAGCCAAGTAAGCCGTGGCGCTGGCCCAGGGTAATTATTTTAATATAATATAAACCCTCATTACTTTAGAAAGGTTTTAAGCTTCATTTTTGCCATCTAGTTAGCTTTTTAAAAAAGATTTATTGTATTTATTTAAAAGACAGAGTTACAGAGAAAGGTAGAGACAGACACACACACAAAGAGAGAGAGAGAGAGAGAGAGAGAGAGAGAGATTTTTCCATTTACTGATTTACTCCCCATATGGACACAATAGCTGGAGCTGAGCTTATCCAAAGCTAGGAGCCAGGAGTTTCCTCAGGGCCATCCTCTGCTGCCCTCCCAGGCTCATTAACAGGAAGCTGGATCAGAAGCAGAGCACTTGAACCGGTACCCATATGGGATGCCAGTGCCGCAGGCTGCGGCTTTAATCCACTGTGCCACAGTGCCAGCCCCTAAATACTTAGTTTTTATAAATAAAGTGATAATACTAAAAAAATTATGCCAGAAATCAAGACATACTAATTCTTATTTATGTGTTTTGTATTAAAAATAAGCCTTTTGGTCTGGACTGATATATATTTCCCTTAAAACATTAATATAAGTAGAACTCAATAATATAAATTATATTTGTTTTGACAACATGCTACATAATATCATCCATTCTTAAAATTTGTAAACACTTATTTTATTCTTACAACCTGTCATCAAATCTTGTTTTCAAACCAACATTAAAATTATCTTTAAACATGGGGCTGGCGTTGTAGTGCCATCAGTTATGAGGCCACCTGTTATTCTTGCATCCCATTTGAGAGGAGGCTTGAGTTCCAGTTGTTCCACTTCCAAACAAGCACCCTGCTAATGACCTGGGAAGGTAGCAGAAGATGGGCCAAGTGTTTGGGCCCCTGCTACCAACATGGAACCCCGACAGGAGTTTCTGGCACCTGGCATTGGCCCATCCCATCCCCAATAATCATGGCCATTTGGGAAGTGAATTAGTGAATGAAAATCTATCTCTCCCTCTTTCTCTAGAACTCTGCCTGTCTAATATATATTTTTAAAAATTATATTTGCACAGAAAAGTTTATACGTGCATGATAGTTTAGGCAAAAACAAATTGAGGTATTAAATACACCATTCATATTAAATAATAGGATAAACTCTTTTTATGTGTAAGCCAACTATGCATTACTCCCTATCAGCGAAAAGTGAGGAGATTCAATGTTTGACATTTTATACTGCAAATCCTATGCATATAAACCTACATGGATATACAAAAACAAAAAGGAAGGTGATACCTATGTGCATTGTACACACATAAAATGTGGTTAAAAAACACTAATGTCCTCTCAGAAATGTTCTTTTGTTAAATAAGACAAAAGTAATGTGCTAGATTAGGTAAGTGTTTCTGATCTCCCTTTAAAGAATTTACTAAAGGGAGGTCGAACATTGCAGACAGTATTGAAATTGGAGTCGGACAGTCGCTCTGTAACTCAGATATCCATGACTTAAATTACTTACATCTCATGAGGCTCTATTTCCAAAATTTATAAAATGCTAATGAATAATACACAATAACAACTTTGTTTTAAGGGCCAGTATTGTGAAGTACTTTGACATTTAGCAGAAATTTAATGACTATTAAAACACACACATACATACACACACTCACAATCTGTTATTTGAGACAGGAATTCTCACATAAAAGTCATCAAGTATCTAATTAATATTTACCCACTTCACATTCAAATAACTACACCAGGGAGTTGTTCAAATACTGAACAATCCAGACTCTGCAATAGATGAATTAAACAGCAACTTTACTTCTTATAGGACAGACAGGAAAACTGCTCTTACAAAGCTGCCTGTCAAACTGCAGTGACATTCTCTCATGGTAGGAACTATTTTCTTAGTTCCTTTTTAGTAAAGAATAAAATACTTGATTGCTTAAACTAGTATCAAAACCAGCGGGACACTTGGATCAGACAACCCACATAATTTGTCCTGAGACAAATGAATTTTAATTAGCAAACAGCATCATCTCACACTCCTAGGACAACTTGCACAGCAGCCATCAGCCACCTGAGCACCGGGGTCAGAGCCATTTTTGTTCACTGGCTCAGTGTGTACAGAAGCCCTGCTTGCCAATGACAGGAGTAGCAAGTACACGAGTATCAAGAGTCCTTGGAATGCCTCTACTCATTCTTTACAAATCTGCCTTCCAATCTTGAGAGGTGAATATTTAGAACGTGTTCCAAAGCAAATGCATAATTGCTGATGCAGAGAGGAGTATGGAAAGTCAGCAGAAACCGACTGCTGAAAATCTCAGAAGCGGCACTTATTTTAATGTTTTTACACACTGGGGCACAAGCATATGCACGTGCAAACTGCAGCCTGCACCTCTTAGTGCTACTGTCCTTGAGCTCACTTTGATAGTCTGCCACTTTGTTGACATTCTCTCACCTGTTTGTGTTAGAACCCCCTTTTATCCTACTTTCCACATCTGCTTCTTCCCTCCTGCCATCTGAAAGACTTTTGAAAAAAAAGTAAGCGGTAAAGGGAGCCAGTGTTGTGGTTCGGCTAGTAAGGCTGCAGCCTAGCATGCTAGCATCCCCTAAGGGGATGTGTCCCATCAACTCCACTTCCTTTCCAGCTCCCTACTAATGGCCTGGGAAAGTAACAAAAGATGGGCCTAAGTGCTTGGGCCCCTGCCATTCACATGGGAGACCCAGATGAAGCTCCTGGCTCCTGGCTTTGGTCTGGCTCAGTTCTGGCCATTGTGGCCATCTGCAGGGTGAACCACCAGATAAAGATACCTCTCTCTCTCTGACTCTGACTTCCAAAAAAATAAATAAATCTTTACAAATAAAGAAAATAAATAAGCAGCATTAATGAATTAATAATCAATTGCTCAGCTCATAATTCAGCCTACTTAGAAACTGATGAAAGTGAATTTGGTTAACACATCTGGAGGTCGTGGAGGCTGTTGCCAGATAACAAAAGTATTATTTTCTGGAAGACAAAATTGTCAGCAATTTCATTTATTTATTTTTAATACAAAAGAGAGATGGTGTAACTATCCAATCACATACACTTCCTAAATCGTCTTATTTCTTTCAAAATGAAAAAGATTGAACCCAGGAGTAAAAAAAAAAAAAACAAAAAAAAAAAAAAAACAAAACAAAACACTGGACTATGAATTAATTTGAGAGAGATACAGAATGACAGAGAGCTTCCATCCATTGGTTCACTCCTCACAGGCCCACAACAGCCAGAACTGGATCAGCTGAAAGCTGTGAGCCAGGAACTATATATATGATATATATATATATATAGAGAGAGAGAGAGAGAGAGAATTATATATGTACACACATATATGTTTATAAATAGATATCTAAAAATGAATTGAGAAAGAGATGGAATGAACTATATGGGAACAAAAATAT